TGAGTACCACACACAGCTGTGCCCGGCAACAGCTGCAGGAAAAAGAGCAGCACATTTTATTTACAAACAAAGGGCCATGATTGGGAAGCTTAGTCTTCTGATTCCCTAAACTCTTCATAAAAGAATCAGCCCTGCTACTGCCTGTGAGGGATGGAGAGACCCAACGGCTGACTTCTACAGCCAGTCCCTTTCAAACTTGACATTAAAAATTTCCCAGAAAATGACTCCTTAAAATGCCCAATAGAATACTTTTCCCATTGTTTTGAGTAGTTTGAGTTTTCTGAGTATATATTAATTTTAACAATAAAAAGCATAAACATTACATGAATATTTAATTATTCACCCCCCCACCCCCCCACCCCCAAAAAATGGCTACGCACTCACACACTCCTATGTCAGATTCAGTACACAGCTTCTGCTCATGGTGCAGTGTGCCCTGTATACACTGGTCCCACCTCCTTAGAAAGGAGGTGAGGGCAGGGTTTCTCCAGGTGGTCTCTGGGTACCCACCCCCCCACCAGAACTCCCTGGGGTGTTATTTAAAATGCAAACTCCTAGGTCATATACAAACCAAAAAAAAAAAAACCTGTTACTCCAAGAAACCAAGGTCTCCAGACAATGACAGAAGACACAACAGCTCCTGGGAGAAACAAGACATTATGGAGACACCCCAAGAGACCAAAACCCAGCCAACCAGACACAGGAATCAATCAAAGCACAGCTATTTGTAACACAGTGGCCTTCAACCCAGGATAAAAACCCAGTACAATATACATATATCATATATTGGTGTATGTGAAACAAACAGCTCACAAACAATACAGGTGATACACTCCGACATTTTCTGTAATTTATCATATTCCATTTTTGAATATTCTTGCAAGCAACTAAATTGATTTCACTACCCACGAACTGGTGATAACCTACAGTTTGAAAAGCCCTGCTATAACTTTTATTGCCCTATAATTTTTACAGTTTTTCATACTACTTGCCATTGAGTTGATTCTAACTCATGGTGACCCCTTGTGTATCAGAGTAGAACTGTGCTCTATAGGGTTTTCAAGGGCTGATCCTTCAGAAGTAGATCATCAGGCCTTTCTTGCAAGTCACCTCTGGGTGGACTCAAACCACCAACCAAGCACATTAACCATTTGAACCCCAAGTACTAAAGGATCGTCCAATCGTTTCCAATTGTATTCCAAAAGTCACAATGTTTAGTTACCTTTCAAGGTGAACCAAGTTGAAATGAGACAGTCTTGTGCTTAAGGATATCAACCATGATACATTTAACTTGCTAACTTTTTACTTTTATTTATTTCTATCCTCTTTATCTCACAAAGAATAAAATGCAAATTACATAGATGCAATAAAAAATAAGTAAGAACTATTAAGAAAATGGAGCCCTGGTGACTCAGTGGTTAAGAGCTTGGCTGCTAACCAAAAGGTTGGCAGTTCGAATCCACCAGCTGCTCCTTGGAAACCCTATGCGGCAGTTCTACTCTGTCCTATAGGGTTGCTGTGAGCTGGAATCGATGAGGCAGCAACAGGTTTTTGTTTTTTTTTTTGTGGCAGGGAGGTTATTAAGAAAATGAAGCAAAGGAAAAATAAAGATAGGGAACTAAGTATTTGTGGAATGACTCAGTGGAGCACGTAAAATTAATAAACCCAATGCAGGCCAGGAAATCTAGTCCAGTTGTTAACTCTAAACTTTCTGGCAATCAATGTGAAGAGGGAAACATGGCCAGGTATAAAATCCCCAGCATCTACCTGGGAAAGAACAAAACAATTTCTGGGAAGCATTTCCAGGCCTCTGGATAGCTTCTCTCCAGGCTGCACTAAACATGCTCATACTCTTCTCAGGGTACAGAAACCAAGTCACAAATAGAAATAAACCAAATCCAAACCAGTTGCCCTATAGTCGATTTCAACTCCTGGCATAGACATGTGCTCCATAGGGTTTTCAGTGGCTGATTTCTTGGAAGTAGATCACCAGGCCTTTCTTCCAAAGTGCTTCTGGCTGGAGTCACAGCTTCAACTTTTGGGTTAGCAGCTCGGTGCTTAATTATTTGTACCACTCAGGGACTCCGCAAGTAGGAAGAGGGCCCCTGTTTCTGCCTCCACGCTCCACCACCATCACTTGATTCGGATAAATTCATGGTTACTCTGGGGGCTGTTGACAGGGACAAACAAGGTCTGCTGGACGCTGAAGCCCAAGGTCGCTTGCTTCTCCCGTCTCCCAGAACACTTTTTACTCACTTCTGTGCCAGCACTGAACACTCAGCCATAATGATGACTGTTCACAAGTCTGTTCCTTCCCTCCTCACCAGCCCCAGAGGTTATGAGTTCCATGAGGACAATTCTGATTCCTATGCATTTCAGTGGGTGCTCAATAAAATTGAGCTGAAATGCTAAACTATTCTAGGTATTTCCAAAAGGCAAAGTGATAAAAGTACAAAGATCTGGACTTGCTTTTTGATTCTATCATTTACCAGTCATGAGATATTGGTCAAGCCATTTGATCTCTATGGGTTCAGCTTCCTATCTGTCAGCCAAAGCCAATATTGTTTACATCATAGGTTTGTCTTGAGAAAGAAATCAACAAACAGATGTAATGCACTTGGCCCAGTCCTACGCACACAGTAGGGATTGAATAAATGTTAGCTGCCTGTGGATCGAGGGCAGTGGTGGTTCAGTGGTAGAGTTCTCTCCTTCCATGTGGGAGGAGACACAGCTTATATTTCTTCCCGATGAACCTCCTCTGTAGTCACCACCTATCATCAGTGGGCGCTTGTGTGTTGCTGTGATGCTGAACAGGTTTCGGTGGAGCTTCCAGACTAAGATGGACTAGGAAGAAAGGCCTGGTGATCTGCTTCTGCAATCAGCCAGTGAAAACCCTGTGGGTCACAATGGTCCAATTCACAAATGATCATGTGGATGGCACAGGACAGGGCAGCATTTCATTTAGTTGCGCACAGGGTTGCCATAAGACACCTTGACAGCACAGGGGCCATTGATGGCAGCCAGTAACAACAACAGTAATCAGGGACCTCTCGACTAGTTTTACTCGTTGTCAGGGCCACCACAGTCTTCAAAGCTGCCTCCTTCTCCTCCAAGCCTACTAAAGAGAATAAAAATCATCCAAAAGGAAAGCAGGGTCCCCGGGACCAGAGAACACTTTCAGTGCCTACAATGCCACCTTTGAAAAGTTTTCTTATGATCGTTCCAGGTACTTTAAGCAGGGGTTACTCTGCAAAAAACAAAAAAACTCTGAGAAAGGACAGCTAGAGTAAGTGCTTAAGGATCAAATAAATGCTTTAACTAAGCAATAGGAAAGAGAGGTAATTAGTATATTCACTGCCAGAGGGCAAATGTTGCTGCTAAAACAGGACTTGGAAAGGTATTTGGTCTTCACTCTTGAATGGGCTAAACGTTGCCTTGCTAATACTCAAGCAGCAGTTGTTTGCTTTGCAGACCCTATTTGCATGGATGGTAAACCAAAAAAAAAAAAAAAAAAAAAAAAAGCCTTAGCTGCTGAGTCGATTCTGACTCATAGAGACCCCATAGGAAGGAGTAGAATTGCCCCATAGGGGTTCCAAGGCTGTAATCTTTACAGAAGCAGACACATCTTCCTCCCTCGGAGCAGCTGGTGGGTTCAAACCATCAACCTTTTGGTTAGCAGCCTAGTGCTTAAGACTGCACCACCAGGGCTCCTGTGCATGAATGTTAGAGATGTAAAATTTAGACCAGCATGTCCAGTCCTGAACAGAGTCCTAAACATCAGTCACATTCTACAGTCTTCACATGTAAGTGTCCCAGATTAAATAATGTCGACGTACCTTTTCTGTGATATAAAAGTTGGAACTGTCGGCATGCCGCAGTGCAAAATATTCATGGTTGGCAAGAGACCACCTGAAAAATACACACATAACTGTTCAGGAAAACAATCACTTGGTTATTTTCATTTTCATAGCTTTATAGGGTGAGATGAATTGAACCCTCTGTGACTGGGACTGGGCTAGTTCCAGTATATGACACAATGCATTTCCTAAAACAAAATGACAATGGCCATCTTTGATTACTCTGGGACTCATCATTTCAAATATGGGCTTTCTAAGCTTATTCCAAGCCTACTGCTCACCTTTAAGCATTTTATCTTCAAGCGAGGGGTGGGAGACATTAAAATATAAATTGTTAAATTCCTCCCTATTTTGAAGGAGTGGAGCAGAGAAGCAATCAAGGGAAATCACTGCAATTTAAATTTTTGATAATTGGTACATTTCAATTGTCTCCATACTCTACAACCCCCAAAAGCAGCATACTTGCCGCATACTGGAACATTCCAACTAAGTATTCCAGGTGATCCTCTATTCACAGCTCTGCTTTAAAAGTCAAATAAATATATGCAACTTGCATATGTGCTTGTCCTTTGGATGTTACAGCAGCCAAGAGAAGTAGGGAAGTCACATCAGTGTGGAGGTCCGTGTGGCACCACAACCACTCAATGCCTTGTCTTTAAGTCTCTATCTTCTGTTAGCACCTGTGAGGTCCTCTCGATTTAGATGAGATGAAGTATGTAATTAACCTCAGGAACCCTTAGGCTGCTGGGTAGGATGAATGGATCACAATTTTCCAAAATAAACAGAACCAAGCCCAATGTGCACACACCAGCCATATCACACTTTCTACTCTTTGAGGCACAACCGCACTTTTTTGGTGCAAAGGGGTGTGTAAATCTTACAAAGTAATTCTTGGTGACTCTAGGCAGGTCAAGCAGTGACTTACTAATAATATTTTACTATTATTTTATTTGTCTGTCTATTTGCAGACTAACGTGTCTCAAGATGAATCCTGAGTAACACTCACCCGTCACAGACTTCCTTTATTATTGCAGACAGTGGTTTTTTCTGAAAAAATAACAAAAAAAGGAAATACTTTCTGTTAGTTTCATTTCATCATTTTAAATTTAAAAAAAAAAAAAGGAAGAAAGAGAAGGCGCCTAATAAAAAGATAGCTACACAAGAAGAATTTACATTTGCTTCTATTATTTGCTGTCAATGCGTCTTTTATTTTTCTCAAGGTAATAATCTACCAACCACCACCACCCAATTCATTGATTTATTACCCTTGTAGTCTTTCTTCTCTATGGTTAGCATTATTAGTTGACCAAAATGTACATCATATTTAACTTAGCAGCACTAAAATCAGGATGAAAATATAACTTTGGACAAAGATCTCAAGGGCAATGAAAGCCAGGAAGGTTAGACCATAACTAGAATTCTTTAGTAGTAGTATATGAATCAGGCAACCAGCAGTTTCGTTTTATACAAACAAGCTTGGATGCATGAGGTTTTTATGAGAACGTGTGGCAAATGGAATGGGAGCCATTGCAAAATTGTTCCTATGAAGTGCAGAGAATTCTTCACCCCAGCCACGGCCCCGATAAATGCCAATCACGAAGCAGCTTGAGCTGGACACACTTGGCTAACGTGACCGTAGCACCATGTGACCTGGTATCGACTAGCAGGCTGCCTTCAGCTGTGTCCTCGTGCCTCACTGCCACAACTGTGCTCCACCAGCCCCTAGATGGGAGGAATGCAGCTGAGAGACGAAGAAGCTTGCCCAGAGATGTCACAACTCTTTTTCCTGTAGAGGCAAACAGATCCTGTCTTTCTCCTGGGGTGGAGGGTAATGGATCCACAAAAGAACAAGTCACACATAAGAAATAAAGGAGGGAGAAAGGAAGAAAAATCAAAGAAGTATAATACGTGGTCCTGGACTTTCAGATACAACCATAAAAAAAGCTATTTCTATATAAACGTGCTACTCCTGTTGCTCTGAAGGGCAGTGTGTGTGTTGGAGAAGAGATTCTGAATCAGGCTGGCCCTGTTCAAATCCTAGCTCTGTCAACTTCTCTAAAATATGACCTGCAGTTTTCTTAATTGGAGCCCCAACTACTTTATCTGTAAAATAGGAATATTACCTACCCCCACCTTAGGGCTGTTATGAGGATAAAATAAAATGAGAATTAATACAAAGGGCAAAAGACTCTTAACGATCTGGCTGCCTTGCCCTCTCACGTCACTAAAAGAGTTCCATTTCCCTCTTGCATCTTTGCACACGTGTCTTGTTGGTGAATTCTGAACACTGCGCAAGTAGCCCTCCCTAAGTCCTTGCTAGAGGCTCCAACTCAGTCCACAGTGCTCCTCCGATGGACTCCCTCCCACTGGAGCTCTTCTAAGTCCATTGCCATGTGTTTGAAAAGACATCTGCCTACCACTGTCAATGCAGTCACAAGCAGGGTGGAGAGGGAGCTAGAATTACCAAGGAGTGGAAATACAGTGGTACTTTCTGACATCCTGAGTTGGTTTTCAATAAGATTAGAAATGGTGATTGGTTTCTACAGTACTGTTATACACTATCCAGATCCTAAGTCTTTACAAGAACCTGTCCACTGTTTACGGCTCTAGCTGTGAGCTGATATGCAAATGTCTTCTCATAACCAAATGACAAAGGAACTTCAGGAACAAAACTTTCCCAGAAGGTGGTATTTTGCACTTCCAGCTGCCAGAGATCCCCTTCGGACTAATAGCATATTATGAACCCATACCAGACAGTCCCCTAATCTTACTGCACACTCAAAACTGAAACATAAACAATAGGCCTTAAATTATTGATGAGAAACGACCAAGGAAGAGAAACAAATGAGAAACATTAAGTCTTGAAACAACAGACCAGGACAGGAAGGTAACGCTGTTGAGGTAGGAGAAGGCATCCAAAGGAACTGCTCCCAGCATTAGACTTCTTAACTGAGATCATTTAGAGCAATGACTTGGATTTTAATTCAGGTCTAATTCATAGATGTAGAATGAAGTCTAAAAAGACAGAGGTTTATGGGGTGCTATTACATCTAGCACACTATGAAGTTGGATGCAGAGACTTAACGGAGAAAGACTAAAGCCACAGAGGAAAAGGAATCACGGTTAACTGAACACACACACAATGCAACCTGACCAATCAAAATGAATGTTAGGTAAGGATGGGGATGGCCCCAAGGTCTACTTCCTACACCTGTGTTCTCCATTCTTCTATCTGCTCCACGAACCCTAGCCCCCACCACCAAACCCTAATCCCATCGACCTTTTCAGAGTTCTCATCCTGACATAACCTGTCCCGCCTATTTGCTACCGTTGACTACCGCCTTCTTTTTGAAATCCTTTCTTTCCTGCGCTTCTGTGATTCACCACAATACTTCCTTTGTTCTTCTACATTTATAGCCAGCTCTTTAATACAACCCAAGAAATCCTTTGTAGTTCCTCTTTTACTTTTATCTTCCCAACTACAAGTTTCTGTTCTTGTCTCTTCTGCTTTTACTTAATTGGTCCATTCCTCATGGATCTCATTTGCTTCAACTGTCATGAATCTATAGTTCTGATCCTAAATATTCTCTGGCAAATCTCTGACAGTTTCTTAGCTACAGCATTCTAATTCTCCTTTTTCAAGTCTTTTATTAAATGTGTCCAAACAAAAAGTCATCACCTTCACCAACCCCTACCCGTCAATCTACCCCAACAGAAGCATGACCCCCAATGCCCCGCGTGATTCTCTGCTCTCATATGGCACCACTGTTGCCTAAGGGTCATCATTAAGCTTTATTTCTTCACTGCTCAGATCTAATTTGTTACCAGGTGATACAGACTTTCTCTGTAATGTCAACATCATGGCTTCTCATCTCCTAACTGCTCTTCTGAACTGACTCTTCTCATTCCAACTCCTGCTGTCAGATTAATCTTCTAAATCACACCCACCCTTAAATTTGCTTCCCCAGTCCCAGCCGTTTCCAGAACAACAGCCCATTATTAGTAACTACTTGACATCAACTTCCAATCAAATATTCCACTGGCATAACAAACTCAGCCTCTTCTCCTCCACTAGCTCCTGCACTCGCCTTGCCTACTTTTGGCAGTTTTTCCAGGTATATTGTTCGAAAACTTGTCCTTGCCTTCTCCTTCTTCTTTACCCTGATCTGTGAAACACACATTTACAAGATGCTAAGTGTTGTCATTGTTTCATCTGCATTCATCTGTCTTATTTTTGGAAACAGATCACCAGGCCTTTCTTCCTAGTCTTAGTTTGGAAGCTTCACTGACACCTGTTCAGCATCATAGCAACACACAAGCCCCCACTGACAGATGAGTGGTGGCGGCTCATGAGGTGCCCTGGGCAGGAATCTAACCCGTGTCTCCTGTACAGAAGGTGAGAATTCTAACACTGAACCACCTCTGCTCCCAGGGTTTAGGAGAAAACGCAATACATTTCTGCTGAATGGAAAATCACATATCCACTAACTCTTCTTTAAAAAAACAAAAACAACAAAAAAGGCATAAATATAAAGCAAACTGTTTTGAAGGATAGTCTGGATTAACAAGCACATTTCCTACTTTCCACAATATAAACCACTGCTGGGTAGCTCTAAGCAGCTGCTGGCTCTAAGCTGTTAGACAGGTGAAGGCTGTCACTACTCCCTGCACAGAATCATTCCCAAAGGAGTTATGCAATTCACAGCTTGGAAGAGCACTGAGCGAGTCAGTTAATGGAGAATGTATTTCAACAGATGATACAACAGATACTAATCAAGCGATTGTCACTATCAGTACGCAGGAATGCACAGGTGAGGGGTCTACTTTCATAAACAGACCAGACTGATGAAGAGGCTCCGAAAGAAAACACTAGTCTGATATCACTTCTTTTCTCACTTCCTGTATAAAGCCCTGTCGGTTGGACAAGCTCGCTGCCTGCTCAGTAAATTCCAAGCCAAATGCTGGCTCAGCCTCTGGACTTTTTAGTGAATGTTTGCCCTGAAGGTTACAAAATACTTTTGTGTCCATCTGTTCAGTTCTCCAAGGCCTGGGAATAGGGTGGACATGGGCAACAGCATCCATAGTTTTCTGTTATTGTTGTTAGCTGCCATCCCGTTGGCCCCCAACTCATGGCAACCCCCTGCACAACGGAAATGAACGTTGTCTGGTTCTGCACCATCCCCAGGATCAGTTGTGGACTGGATTATTGTGATCCATATGGTTTCCACTGGCTGATTTTCAGAAGTAGATCACCAGGTCTTTCTTCCTAGTCCCTCTTCGTCTGGAAGCTCTGATGAAATCTGTTCAGCATCATAGCAACACACAAGCCTCCACTGACAGATGGGTGGTAGCTGTGTATGAGGTGCACTGGCCGGGAACTGAACCCAGATCTTCCTCATGGAAAGCAAGAACGCTACCATTGAGCAACCACTGTCCTCTCCATTAACTCTAAAGGAATTCAGAGTCAGCTTCTGTACTGAATATGAACATAGCTGGATTTGGAAGATTGAGGCACACTTATTTTAACTGCCTGGGTATACTTTCAAAACTTATAAAAATCATAAGTAAATTCCTTGAAGGTCGAAACTACCTTCTCAGACTTAGTAGTGGACTGAGAGCTGAAAAGCCAGCATTGTTAAGATTAACTTGGGAGTTTAGCCAGTTACTCAATTTCTACCTGATGGAGATCAGGGACCACGCGCACGGTGGCCCCCAAACCACTTTTCTTACCCCTTCCTTTAGCTATGGTGAGATCCTCTTGCAGCATATGGAAGTATTTCTTCACTTCATATTATTCTGGGGAAATTTTTATGTTTGCAAAAATATTTTTATTTGTCAAATGAAGTAAGCACTGCCATATGAATCTCATTGACAAAGTACCATGTGCCAACAATTATACTCAAGGAGTAGGGTTTTTTTTTTTCAGGATTTATTCTTCTCTTCTTATCTCAACTTCTATTCTCCAAAGGAGTTCCTTTATTTAACCAAATCCTACCAAAGACAGTGACTGCAGAATGCTAACTTCCTATACAAAATGATTTTTACCT